ATTATTTACTTAAAAGTAAGAGAATGAAGTTAAGGCTCGCCAAGCGTACTCACCTTAGGCTAGGCTTTCAGGCTCGTAGTCGTTGAGATGTATTCAATATAGACTAGACAATCAGCAGCTACAGCAGTTTAGCAAGGATAATAACCAATAAGGTCAATTCCATACCTATTGTTTACTTCGAAAGGATATCCAAAGAGTAAGTTAAAAGGATGAAATTTCCCATGGAATATCACAACAACTGTCTTGGATATATGGCATAGAAAGATGGATGAAATGTCGCTTGTGTCAATAGATATACCGAAGTTCCGGGAACTTTTTGAACACCCTATGTATTATTATGTAGAAAATGAAATCTTGATTTGATTTGATTATTTTTGATTCTCCCATGTAACATAAAAATGACCGAAAATCGATCAGACATATTGTTCAAAGAATTTTGCATATAAAGATTATTTAATTTATCTGACTTATTTCTAAAAATAACAATCGACTGTAAAAGATACGATACAATAGAAATCTTTACAAAATGTATTGATGTCCAAAGCTTTCTCAGCAGCCATCTTCGCGCTCAAATCCTCAGAATATTGTGTGACATACATTTTGAGTGGATTTGCTAAACGTGACAATGAATGAAAGTAATTGCATCACTCATTTTCATCTTCAAGAGTTTTTTAATATTTTTCTTTTCGTTCCTTTCATTTGTATGCATGAGTTAAAGACAAACACATTTTGAATTGTTTACATACTGTCTTGACAATAGCATCAACAAAAATTCTGATTGGTATGACATATGATTCATTCTACTGTCGCTTGATAGCATTATTACGCCAGATTTATAATAGATATCTTAAGAAATAAAAAAAGTAAGTGATGATCTCTTTTCTATTCTTATTATTAGAATGTACCATGCAACGATGAATATCTACTATATTACATGTCTTAGAGTGTAAATTCATAATAAAATTGTGTCATTGTCTAACTGTAGCTCTGTATTTTATCCTTCTATGACACATTATTTTCACGCTTACAAATACTAAACATTTCCAATCAGATAACTTAATAAAAAAAGAATCTTGGGCACTTAGTGTCATTAATAATACTTAAATACTTTGACATTATGAATAATACAATTTCAAATTGTTAGGTATGAACAAAAAAAAATCTCGGTTCATATCTCTAAATTGTATCTATCTCACATACAATATAAGTTTATATAGGAGAGAGATGAATATAGAATGAAAAGTATGAGAGGAAAGAAGAAATGAAGATATCAATGAAAAGGAGATACTATTATTGGTACACTTATCAACAAAAATCTTCCATTTTATATGTACGTAAATAGAAAAGACTACCGGATTCTTACAATATTGAAATGTGAAACACATTGGAATCGCAGTTCATAGTGGACAAGAATCCTTTCGCCATATTTGAAAAAATGATTTCGAGGGAAGAATTTCAACTTAGGAATTTGACTCTAAACGGGTGTTCCTCTCGAAATCTTTGATGATCATAGAAGTTTTTGATAGAATGTTTCTACCAAGGCTTGTACAAAGTGTCTAAGAGAAAAATATATTTTAGGCTGAAAATTGGTCGAGTCAGACGAAAAATGGTTATCAAATTCTACATGAAAGCAATAATTCTTATTCCAGTCACACAAGAGTACATGAGATAAAACAGTGTGTCTTTGAAACAAACTCTTGAGCCCAGAAACGAATGATATGCTATTCTATGCTTCTGACTACCACTACCTAGTATATGTGCTATAAATAAGAGATTTTATTATTCATATATAGAGACGAAATTAAAAAATTATTGTGTTCCCTTACTTTTGATTCATCCTGTATACATCGATAAGGCCTTCTACGTCTCTTTTCATTAAACTTCTAAAAGATTTATTTACGTCTTTATCTTAGTGTCAATATCGCTTATCTTTATTTACGCTTATCACATCTGGCCACTTCTTTCATCCTATCTCTTTATGTCTATTCATGAAACAACACGCACTATTTGACTTCTTCTCTTTTTTTCTACGTTTTTCTAATGGAATGCCACTACTTGCCGTTTTTTTGCTCTGTTGGCATATATAGTTACTGTTGTATGTATGCATACGATACTACTAGGATGACTAATATATGGTCATCAGTAACTGAATCAAACCATTTTTCGTTAATTCGAGTTCAGTTCAGTTTGGATTTACTTTTAATAATTGATTCGGATTCGGCTCGATTCGAACTTATTTTTGAAAAGTAGTTCGAGTTCGGTTCTATTCGAATAATTCTAGTTCCACTAAATCAGAAATATACGATACGTCAAAAATGTATTTCTTTTTATTCAGTGAGTTTAAATTGTTTACGAAAAGTACGATGTTTGAAAAGTAGCTCTTTTTCTTAATGTGTATTTGTAATGTGTTAAATAGAGGTAGTTGTTTTTTTTTGGTTGAATAAAAATTTAAAACAAGAAAACTCGTTTTTTAATTGAGTTTTATATTGAGGAAGATTTTTTATTTTTCCGACAGATTCTACACGCCTAGTAAATTGTGATGTTCTACTTTAGACAGTATACACCCACAACCATACTCACATGCATCGAATATGTTTTTCAGCTATTCTACAGTTTTAACTTTGTTTTTCGATTGTTAATCAACAGATGGATTCTTCTCTACTCTAATGTCCATTGTCTAATATTACATTTGATTTTTGTTTTAGTTTTAATCAATCTAAACGATGACACAAAAACATATTGAATGGTTTTGGAAATCCGATGATAATCCATTTTCAAACATGGAATCGTCTCAATGGAATCAATATTCGGATGTTGAAAATATAATTATTGAAGAAGCATTTACGACATTGAAGAAACCCAATGTTATTCTTGATGATTATCATATTGATTTTGAACATCGAGTTCAGATTTCGAATGATGATAAAAGTAAACAACGTCCGGTAAAGCGAGTAGAAATGAATAAAGATGAAAGATGCTTAAGAGAAGCACGTTTTATGCCAAATCCATTAGTACCTACCCGTTCTTTTCATGAGTTAGTTGGATTTAAAAAGGTTTTTATCGATAGTTTCGTAGAATCCTTCGATCTTAAATCTATAAACGACTGGGAAAAACGAAAATATGAGATAATAGAGAAAGCAATGTTGGGTATTTTACATGAAGGACAACTAGCCGGAAAACAACGTGAAGCTAAATGGATTATTGAACAGTTAGAAAAAGTTAAAGATAAAACAAAGACAGAGATTGGCAAATGTTGCATTTATCTTTATTCACTTGAATCATTTCTCTATAAAATTCTTAATCAAACAATGCGTCTCATAGGTGACAAAAATCATGAAAATATCTGGCAAAATAAAATAGAAACTCTTGGTCCTTTTGCTTTCCTTCTCTACTATTATTTATCTTTCGAAAATTTAAATCACCGAACACATACCACTGTATATCGAGGTGCCCAATTGACTAATGAAATGATTGCTGAATATCAACATGTTGCTCGAAGTAAAGATCCACGACGATCATTTCAAGCATTTACATCATGTAGTCGAAATCGTACAAAAGCCGAACAGTTTGGTAATGCTTTATTTATTTTGAATGCTGACAAACGTACTTCATATCGTACATTGAACATGGATATTTCTTCTCTATCTGCTTATCCAGATGAAGAAGAAATACTTATACGACCGGGACGATCTTTTAAAATTGAACGTGTTGAATTTGACAAGACGAAACAGAAACATGTTATCTATTTAACATTGATATCAACAAGCGATACAAATTAGATGTTTTGACGACATAACTTATAAAGAGATTAAAAATATTATTGTATTCTTTATTTAAAAAAGAAAGATAAATATTTTTCAAATAATTTCAGAAGACAACCACCCATTGAGTTCAGACGTTCACTATTCGATAGAAAGTTCTTTCAGGTATCGATATATATTTATAACTGATCCCAATCAATTGATGATAATTAGATGAAGGGTAATCATCTTTAAAGACAACAATACCGTTTTACAATTTATATTTATGAAAATTAAATATTCTGCAATTTGATAAGTACCTCAAAATTTTTTATCAGAGAAAAATCTTCTTTTTATAATTCCTAAAAGCATTTCATTTGGAGAAATACTTTCGTAAATAAATTAGAATTGTATCAATGGTATAAAAGAGAAAGGATCTTTTTATATAACAAGAACTAAAATTTAAGAATTACTAAGCTATTGCCTAATTCTCAACGGAATTACGATGATTCATCGAAGAAATAAGAATTTTGATTATTAATTTCTTTACAGTTTCAATTATCAATAATTTTTTTTATTTGTGCATGTGTATGTGTATTTTAGTTTCTTTTAAGAAAAGTTTTGAAGAATAGAATATTAAATAGATGTTATAAAAAAAAAAGTTTTTCTAATTGATGTAAATTTGTTTTTAATTGTGTAATAACAGAATTAATATCTGACGTTGATTGAAATTCTGATTTAAGTAATGATACAGGTGATTCACGTTCAATATATTCTCGTAATATATAATTATTTTCAATTTCATAATGATAACGAGTATCAAAACATCGTATAATTACACCATCAACACGCATAAAAAATCGAAGAAGTATAAAAAATCCACTAGGCATACAACGAATTTTTAATGTTACATTTGATATACCATTATCAGCTAATTCATCTTCATAAAGTGTTAATTCATCATAAAATAATATTGGTTCTTGACGTTTAAGTTTTTCTAAATCAAGTTGTTGATCAGTTGATTCAATACGCCATGTACTTTTATCTGTTGAACGTAAAGTACCTAAATATGAATATATATTATTGTATTTGTTTAATTATAAAAAAAGAGATTCGAAACAAAATCATTACGAATAAAATGTGAAGCAGTTCAATTACTTCAAATGAATATTTTAACTGACAAAAGAACCGGTTCGAAGTGATTCATCGTTTTTGACTTCGTATTTTGCCTACAAGTAACACACTTATAAACTAGGAAAAGTCCAAGATGATGACTGAAATATGAATTTTCGATAGGTATTGTACGTAAATCCTAATAAGATATGAATACACTGAAAACAGTTCGGATCCCTAGCTGATTCTAGCGAAGATAGTGAAACAATACGATATGTTTCAAGTTAGTACTGTGATCCCCTTCAGGAACATACTAGGAAAACTAATTTTCGAATTGTAATTTGAAAACTTTCATTGAAACAGATCTTAACGAGAATAAATTATACAGAAAGTTTCAGATCTCATGTTGCACATTTGTTCACCCTACCGCTGGTATAACGTACATAATACCGAACGATTGTTGTCCGGTTTGAATTACATGGGATCTTGTTGTTGTTATTCCTATTCTAAGATACGGCTATGATAAAAATGTTTCGTCTTACATCGATCGTGTACACGGGTAAAGTCGTTTCAGAATACAAGCAAATCAAAAGACTTGAAACTTTCATAACAATCTATTGTCATTAAGACATGTCTCTGTATAAAATTTCAAGTGAAAATTCGAAAATCTGTTTTTTTTCTGTTGTTCTTAAAAGAGAGAAAGCAATTGGCTTAAAAAATAGGGTATTGTTGCACTACCACCGTAGCAATAGGCTAAGAACCTGAACTCGTTTCAAGGTATTCATAGTGTACATAATCTCGACTCAAAAGTGACTAATTAGTTAGAAGACTTCTTTTATGCTACCAACTGACACGATGGAATATTTTCAATAGATGTTTAGCTTTCGCTCGACATTATTTTCCATATCAAAGGTCTAAACAAGTCTACTTTTCGTTAGTTTGCCTTGCATGTCTGTCGTGATCCTTGAATACTCTTTTACGTATTGAATAGAAACAGAAGACTATCTTTATGAGAAAGTCATGCAACATTTATTGTTTTAATACAGTATGATTCTATCAAGAATGATAATATAATAATCAGGGAAAAACAAGAATTTATTAACAATTCATATAAGATAATAATATCTGATCATAAGGTACGAACAGTAATTTAGCGAAATGAATAAGCAAACAATGTAGTTATAATTGTGCCGAAGTAAAATGATAAAAAAAAAATAATTTTTCATCTTCCAATAGGAAAGATTCTAGGATATCTACATATTCTACTCATAAAAGACGAACTTTTTTGTATAGAAAAATATGAAAAAAACCGACAGACAGACTGTTTGAATCTCTGTTCCATACATTAGACTTACATATTAAACACAAAATATTCTTCTATAACTTTTCAAAGTAACACAAGTTCGTTCGCATCCAAATCCAACTTCAGATAAATCATATACTGAATCGATCATGACTGTATTCTTAAGGAAATTTACGACCACCTCTAGGACAAATATTTGTTATCTATCTGGAATTTGTGCAGATTCTAATCGATAAAATAAATATACTACACGAAGTTATTACAAGTTTATCATAAACACTTAATCACTTGATTACAAGAAAAAAAAAAGAAGTTAGATCGAACTATATCTTATCATTCTCTATTTTTGAGGTGTTTAAAATCATTGCTCTATTATAAGAAGAACAACTACATATTACATAAAACAACACAGTTCAATTACTTATTATGAATTTACAACATGACCATGAATCTTACTGGAATTCGGACACACTTCAAATAGTCAATAATCGTTCACATACACTTCTCAACGGTCTATTCACATAAATAATAGTTGAATGTAACCAGTGGATATTACTAGAATAATCTATCCAGTTCAATGATTCCAACTCTCGGACTTATAACAGTATGATAAAACTATAGTTGCGATTCGCCCTGACTTCCAATTGACCGTATCAGGATTATCTTAGTTTTCAAAGTCTTATTTTAACTAATCACTGCATTTCTCTCAAATTAATATAATTAATCTACAAAATAATTGATATTTATATTTTACAACATATAAAATAATATGGGGAATTATTTTAAGGTCAGTAAAATACATGAAATGGCCAGTAAGTGAGATAATTATAAAATCAGTCAATTTAATGATTGATCAGTAAAATAAATGATTGATCAGTAAATTATTTAAACGGTCGATTATTAACTAATTAGGTTTGTAAATACATTTAAAAATCAGTAAATATAATTTATTAACAGTCGATTATATTAAAGGATCAGTATAAAAATTGAAATGGGTATAGAGTGAATTACTTTTTTCCTTTTCTTCTTTGTCTTCAGCTATTCTACAGGATGATTGAAAAGTAACTGCCTATTTTAAATTCTTTATTACTCTCAAACAACATAAGATATCGTCCTAATATTTTCACCATTATGAAGCATAGACTATGGCATTTTGTTCTAGATGAAACAAATCGACTGATCGTTTGGTTGTCTAAGATCAAACGCGAATTTTGTCTTGACAACATATGGGAAAAAATAATTATTTTTAGTAGTTTACTATTCTAGTAGTAGAATCAGGGTGTGGATGTGAGTGTGCGTATAGGTGTAGGATGTGCATGTGGGTGTGTATGTGAAGTTGTGATGTGTGTTTGGACAATGCAAAAATGTTCACCCAAATCAACACACTAACATCCTGCTTCTTGTATACGAATAATAAACTACCAAAAATAATGAGTTTTTTCCATATGTTGTCAAGACAAAATTTGGGTTTGATCTTAGACAGCCAAATGATCAATCGATTTGTTTCATCTAGAACGAAATGCCATAGATCATACTTCACAATGGTGAAAAAATTAGGACGATATCTTTTGTCGTTTGAGAGTAACAAAGAATTTAAGATAGGGAGTTACTTTTCAATTACCCTGTAAATGTATTCTGGTTCTTTTGACCTATTCTTTTAGTCTGTTTCTTTTAACCTACACATTTTGTAAATAAGAGGAGTCATTGTTTTAATTCTTCTTATTGTGCATTGTCTAAAACAAAGGAAAAGAAGCTTCTCGACTTCTTCTCTCGTCACTGTTTTTATCTATCCCATATATAGGATGGATGTGTATAAACTCTTTCTCGATACCCGCACCCACACTCAACGCGACAGCCACAGCTACACTCACCGACACCTAAACATCCCACACGCACATACCCTACACCCACACCCTATTCGTTTGAAATATTGAAAACCACCGTCAGCGGCAAAAACAGTTCCAATCGGTGAGAAAAGAAAAAGAGGTAGACCAGCGAAGGCTAAATCTTCTTTATTGATACAATAATTTGATTTTCTTTTTCTTTTTTTTTCAATTGCTGTTAAAATTTCTCCTAATTATGTGATTCTTTGATTTTTTTAAATTTATTTTCTACTGATAAAACTTATCTTTCTACTGATAAATTTTGTATTTTTCACTGACCAAATTTGTATTTCTTACTGATATAAGATGGAATTTTTTACTACTACTTTATTTAATAAACTGACCATTTTACAATTAATTACTGCCAATTTCAATACTGACCACTTAAATGGTAGCCAAATAATATTACCTTTATATTTTGTTGTATATGTCCAATCATATGGTTTAACATAATCTAATTCTTTATCTTTACTACGTGATTTTGTCCATATTTCACTCATTGATACTTTAGGTACATGTTCTAAATTATTATACATATCAATACATTTTAATGCATCAAATGCATTAAATAAAATTTCTAAATTATTATCTAAATAAATTATTTTTAATGTTGTTTTATCAAATATCATTTCAGGTAAATGATGTGTTTTTAAATTTTCTTCATATTCTTGACGTTTTGAACCTTCTGATGATAATATTGAACCATGTGTTGTACTTATTGACCATTGATTATTAAATAT